AAACGGACAGCTGCAGTGACGGAACCTGGAACAGTTCTATCTCTGTTAAATTCCTGGAGTGATGGGGGGGACAGAGTATCCTGACCGGGACCCTTGAGTGAAAATGGACAGCTGCAAACCTGGAACAATTCTATCTCTGTTAAATTCCTGGAGTGATGGTGGGGACAGAGTATCCTTGTTCTTAGGAGACACCCACTAAAATGTTAAGGGGGAAATGGTTAGAAAGCCCGCAACTTATTCTCAAATGGTCTGTGGGAAAAAAAAAAATACACACCCACACACAGTATGTAAAAATATACTCAAATGAAACTGTGCCTCAGGCAAATGTTGCTCAAGAGCGGGTCCAGAACTAGTATCTGCCCTGAATGTGATGGAAATGCAGGAAGGCTTCCTGGAGGAAAGGACACTCCAGGTAAAACACACAGGCAGGACAAACCTTCCCACCTGCCAATTTCTGCCCCAAGCCCACCTGATTCACACGGCGCAGGGGGGACACGTCGACAGCCTGACGCCTCACTGTTCCGGCTCGCCCAATGCGGGTTGAGTCCTCCCGGGGACCGCTGTTAATAATTGCATTCACCAGGACCTGCAGGGGGTTCTAGGAGAAGGCAGCCATGAACCTGACATCCAGTCCACATCCCTCCCCTATCTCCTCACCCCTAAAACCTGGTGGACCCTGGCATGCACGCCATGGGGCAGCTGTTGGCTTTAGGGTGTACTAAGGGCGTTCAGCCTCATCAGGTCTCACAGTCCTACCTCACCAGTGAGCAGATGGATGATCTCGAAGGCATGCTTGACAATGCGCACGGTCATGAGCTTCTTGCCATTGTTACGGCCATGCATCATCATTGAGTTGGTGAGACGCTCGACAATGGGGCACTGTGCCTTACGGAAGCGCTTGGCCGCATATCGCCCTGCACTGTGGGGCAGGTACTTGGCATACTTCTCCTTCACTGCAATGTAATCCTGGGGCAGCAGGGAGAGGGGATGGAAGGACCATGGTCAGGAGTAGGATGGTCAGGAACCAGAGGGACTGAGCATCCACTCGGGGTAGCCCTCACCCACCTGTGGTGGCTTGACTGTGAGGGCCCTGCCTGCCACAAAAAAAGTAAAGCCCTAACAAGTGACTATCAAGTCACTAAAAAAAGCACTTCCTTGGGGCACCTGGGCGGCTCAGTCAGTTAAGCGTCTGCCTTCGGCTCAGGTCACGATCTCAGGGTCCTGGGATGGAGCCCTACATTGGGCTCCCTGGCCAGTGGGAGTCTGCTTCTCCCTCTGCCTGTGCTCTCTCTCTCATATAACTAAATAAAATCTTAAAAAAAAGAACACTTCCATTATAATGGGAGGGAGGGAGGGAGATGGAGAACCAAGAAGATCACAACTTACCATCTCAGTTTTGTTTTGTTTTTTTTTTAAGATTTTATTTATTTATTTGAGAGAGAGCATGAACAGGGGAGAGGGAGCAGACTCCCCGCTGCAGAGCAGGGGTCCTGACATGGGACTCCATCCCAGGACCCTGGAATCATGACCTGAGCTGAAGGCAGACACTTAACCTACTAAGCCACCCAGGTGCCCCACGATCTCATTTTTAAGTGTTCCTCAAACTCTACACTATGAATATTTTATTTATTTATTTGACAGAGAGAGACACAGCGAGAGAGGGAACACAAGCAGGGGGAGTGGGAGAGGGAGAAGCAGGCTCCCGCTGAGCAGGGAGCCCGATGCGGGGCTCGATCCCAGGACCCTGGGATCATGACCTGAGCCGAAGGCAGACGCGTGACGACTGAGCCACCCAGGCGCCCTGGGCACTATGAATGTTTTAAATCAATTAGCTCTCATTGTGGGCGCTGTCCTGTGCACCACAGAATATTTAGCAGCATCCAGTATGCTGGCAGCACCCCTCTCAACCTTAGCAACTAAAAATATATCCAGACATTGCCAAGTGTCACCTAAAAGGGGTGGGGGAAAATCACTCCAGAGAACCACTGTTTTAGTAGAATTATCCAACAATCCTTCCTATATATGCATACGTCATTTCCCAAGAAAATGTCTAGAAAATACCAAAATGTTAGAGGGCGTTCAAATCAGAGGAACTACACGTATGTGAAGAGAACTACTGTCAACTGTTCCACTGCGAAATACACCCAAACGTCATTCTATCACTTAACACATGAGAGGCCCCACACACATCATATTTCTGTAGACACAAGGCGTAACAGAAAAAGAACACGGAATTCAGACCTAGAATGACAGTCTGGTGTCTACCTGGAGAGAAGCACCTGCACAAATAGGCAAGTAGACAGGTCTCCATGCAGGGCTTTACACTGGGCAAAAAAACCCACAAACACCAAATGTCTTGGCAGGGTTTGGTTAAAATGTCCAGCTCTACGGTAGAGCCTTGCACATCTTTCAAGACGAGCATTCAGGGGCGCCTGGGTGGCTCAGTTGGTTAAGCGACTGCCTTCGGCTCAGGTCATGATCCTGGAGTCCCGGGATCAAGTCCTGCATCGGGCTCCCTGCTCGGCAGGGAGTCTGCTTCTCCCTCTGACCCTCCTC